AAAACAAACGAACAAGCATAACTAAACAGATACGGAATCATAGATACAGAGAACAAACAGGTGGCTGCCAGAGGGAATAGGGATGGGGGGAGGAAAGAAATAGGTGAGGGAGATTATGAGGTACAGTTTTTCAATTACAAAATAAATGAGTCATAGGTATGAAATATACAGTGTGGGGAATATAGTCAATAATTATGTGATATCTTTGTATGATGACAGGTGGTAACTACTAAATTTACCTTGGTGATCATTCTGAAATATATAGAAATATCAAAACACTACCTTGTGTTACCAGGAACTAACATAGTGTTGTAGATCAATTGTACTTCAAAAACAGCAGCCAGAATTGGCTATCATTCAAAAGTCCACAAATGACAAATGCTGGAGAGGCTGTGGAGAAAAGGGAACCCTCCTACACTGCTGGTGAGAATGCAGTGTGGTGCAGCCACTGTGGAAAACAGTGTGGAGATTCCTCAAAAGACTAGGAATAGACTTACCATATGACCCAGGAATCCCGCTCCTGAGTATATATCCAGAAGGAACCCTACTTCAAAATGACACCTGCACCCCAATGTTCATAGCAGCACTATTTACAATAGCCAAGACATGGAAACAGCCTAAATGTCCATCAACAGGTGACTGGATAAAGAAGATGTGGTATATTTATACAATGGAATACTATTCAGCCATAAAAGGGACAACATAATGCCATTTGCAGCAACATGGATGTCCCTGGAGAATGTCATTCTAAGTGAAGTAAGCCAGAAAGAGAAAGAAAAATACCATATGAGATCGCTCATATGCTGAATCTAAAAAAAATACATAAATACAAACCAGAAATAGACTCATAGACATAATATACAAACTTGTGGTTGCCAAGGGGGTGAGAGGTGGGAAGGGACAGACTGAGATTTCAAAATTTGTAGATACTGACAGCCATATGTAGAATAGATAAACAAGATTATACTGTACAACAGAGGGAAATACATACAAGATCTTGTGGTAGATCATGGTGAAGAAGAATGTGACAATGAATATATTTATGTTCAAGTATAACTGAAAAATTGTGCTCTACACTGGAAACTGACACAACATTGTAAACTGACTATAACTCAATAAAAAATAAAAATAATTATACTTCAAAAACAAACAAACAAAATACAGAAAAAGAGATCAGATTTGTGGTTATCAGAGGTGGGGGATGGGAGCAAGGGGAGTCCTTTTGACTAAAAGGTACAACCTTCCAGTTGTAAGGTAAAAAAGAACTAGGGATGTAAGGTACAAAATGATAACATAATTGACCCTGCTGTACATTATATATGGAAGCTAAGAGAATGAATCCTAAGAGTTCTCGTTAGAAGGAAAAGTTTTTTCTGTTTCTTTAATTTTGTGTCTATATGAGATGATGGGTGTTCACTAAACTGATTGTGGTAACCATTTCCTGGTGTATGTAAGTCAGATCACTATGCTGTACACCTTGAAGGGCTGTACGTCAGTCGTATCTCAATAAAACTGGAGGAAAAATGATGTTAAGTACAAGAATTTAGAACAGGGGGAAGAGCTGTGAGTAAGCCATAAGCTTCTGAGACATATTTTAAAAAAATCAGTGGATAGAGGAACAGCAATTCAGTTTTACTTTAATTGATAAATCATATTAGCCACTTTCAGAGTCCCAGCTCAAAAGCTCCCCCCTCTGTGGTCCTCCCAGTTGGCATCCACTGCTCCCCTTTGTTTTGTTCATCAGCCTATCACAGTCATGTCACAGTCTGCCTTAAACCACAGTTATTTGTGGACGAATGTCCTGTCCTTTAACTCTGTAGACTGTTAATCTTTTCAGAAGAGGGATTCTGCTGTTGTTCTTAAATGCTTTGAACTCCTAAGACAGTCTAGGCCTGTACTTTGAAGAGGTAGGTTATCAACGATTGTGTGACAAAATAAATTTTGTTTGCATATTTTCTGCTTTATAGCTTCTGAGAATTCAATAATACAATATTTGATTCTTACGGTTCCATGAAACCATGTTCTACCACTTGGGCTATACCCTTCCCCCCAAATCAAGCATTCTTGATTCTGAATTTGCCTGTTGAAAACACACTGGTCCCCTTCTCCAGATCTATTAAATCATATTCTCCATGTGGTTCTTATAATCAGGCCAGGTTGGTAAATACAGGTATAGTACAATATTTATTTTATACCAACCAGGAAATGAAACTCACTGAGGTTAGGTGACTTGGCCAAGTTGACTCAGTGTTGTACAGTAATTGTGACCTTACACGGTAAATCAAGTAACACTTGAATCCCATGAGATGTGTCTTTCAGATACATCCAGTATTTTGTTATAACTTATATCCAAAACAATAAAAATCTCACATTCCCATCATTCTTTCCTTTTATTTCAGGGTGCATCTAAGATTATACATTTTTATAAAACCATATAGTCATGTGCTAGTTTTATTTAATATTGGTGGTAAAGTAGGTGAATTCCAGATTTATGTATTGAGAGAGTTGGAAATTAATCCTCGTTTTTTCCCATGTTATTTCACTGACTCTTCAGTCATTCTTTCACTCTACACAGGTCTATTGAGTCCAATGTCTGTGCTGGACAAACGCTAGTGTAGACTATTAAGATTCGACAGTGAGTAAGACCTCACCTCTGGCTTCATACGCTTGAGGGAAACGGATGGATTATTATAACAAAATATGAGGTTGTTTTAAATCGGTAAAGTTGTTCAGAAGCTACGAAGAAATAAAGGAAGTCTTTGTGCTGAATGTGACATTTTAACTCCGTTTTGAAGGATGGCTAAGAACTTTTCCATTTGAGAGAGGGTGTCCCGTGTGTCAGGAACACTGTGCATAATGAAGCAGAGAAACAACAGAGAATAGGATTGTGGGCAGTTCTTTGGGTTTAGGGCTCAGGCCTTCTGGAGAAAAGTGAG